ACTAGCTTGCAACTGAGGCTAATGCAGGGAGTCTTTTCAAATGTAAATGACATTTGTCGCTTTCTAATGACATTCCCCCGCACAAGCCTCTATTGCAAGCTAGTTCCAGTCCAATACCGCGAATATGAATATGGCCTACTGAATGTCATCTTCAGGAAGTAAGGATTTACACTAATTGTGATATTTGTGAATTCTTCCAGATTGTACTTACCTAAAGGCTTATGCAATTTGCAGAACATTTTCAAATATCACTGGTAGTGTGAATTCCTAATTGCACTCGTACTCATATGATTATCTTACATATAAGAGTCAAGCTCAGTCTAATGAGTAAAACTTGATGCAATCACTGTGAATCGTTCTGGCTACCCATTTATAACATGTACTGTCATGTACATTGCACATTGTACACGACAGCTGTTAAAAATGCTGTAAGCTTCTAGTAAATGTATTTAATTAATGTTACATACACTGTAATATATACATGAACATGTATAGCTCCATGCCAATTTAATCCAAGTCAAATTTGAAACATCCCTGGACAGATCATTGACAAGAGTGCAGATCAGTGACAAGAGTTCCACACAATACTACAGCTAAGCATGAACAGCTGATCAATCATATGGTTATTTATCTGGTCTTATACTGCCATTTGGGTCCCCACCCCCTCCCCTTTGGTACTCTCAAAAATATGTTTCTTACTAAACCTGCCATTAAACAGGGCAGTCAAAAGGGCCGTGATCTGCAACACCTGCTGCAGCTAAGTATGTTTGATGAGCCCATGCTGTCACGGGTGAACTGGACTATAGTAGATACAATTCACTCAATAGGTAACAAATTTGTTACAGGTGTGAAGATCAAGGCTACAGAAGAGTCAAAAGTTCATGACAGCTTTTAATAAGTGTACAGAAACATCCTGGAAACAGAGGAAAATGCTTCACAAACTTGTCTTCGTGGCTGACTGATTTTGAGGGGTTTGGATCTTTCAATGATTAGAAATAGCGTGACTGAGTTCATTTTTGAACCTCTCACTATGAACATCAGTGTAATACTACAACTCTTTGTAGTTCACGTGATCCCAGAGAAATCAGAATGACATAATTTTTAGCTCTAAAATAAGGACACCTGTGTAATATGGACAATTAGCTCTGCCCCTTTCATGATCACATTTAAAGAGGTTTGGAGGTACATGACTTGTGCGATACAACTTACCAACTGTCTGTCAACCAGTGTTTTGTCTTTCACCACACAATATATCTGATGCTTGAGAATAATAGCTGGAATTTTCCCTTCAAACTTGCTCAGTGGAACAACTGACTTCAGGAATAATATGGCAGCTTTTGTATCACTTGGTGCTTCAAAGTCTATACATGTACGCATGGATGACAAGGAGAAAGGGGAAATTAATTGCAACTGAACAGCTGCAAGAGGTCTTATTGTTTCCAACGATAATTAGAGTTTTGTTCTTTGCTAAAGGTGAAACAAGGAAATCTTTAATTTGCTTCAATTATGTTAAGCTTAATTACAGTCGGTAGATGTTGCTGCTAGTTCAATCCATGAAGTGGTCTGAGGCTTATCATGGAATATGCTATACAGTGAAAACTGTTAAATTACTGACTCGACATGTTGATTAAGAAGTTATACATATTTCTGCGCCAATTGAAGGTAACTGTTTATATCTTTATCTGGGAAACTCCACGTACAATTAAAACTGGAAAGAAATAAAAGCAAACCCACCAAAATGGCCGTCTCCGTCCGGCGAAATGGAGGTATCTCCGTCACTTGAGTCTGGTACAGGGCGCTTATTAGAAGTGAAGTTCTCTGGAAAACCATCCGCATCTAACCGCGAACGTTTGGAAGTCATGAATCTCACTAAAACAACCAAGTTCGATTACTTTTTTTCAG